CACACACACACACACACACATGTATGTTTTTTAATCCAACACACAGTGCAGTAACATCACATGTTTCAAGTTCAAATGCAGATTTAACAGTTGCACTCTTGTTTAACAAATGTGAACTAATGTGCAGTGCCATAAGATGTCTTTTGCGCAGACTCCTGCTGGATGTGGTTTTSATAAAAAGTTACYGTTGATTATGTRTTTGTGACTTCAGTAAACTTCTCRTATTTAGTTTTGTGCAACATGATGTAGTGGCGACTTATATCAAAATCCTTCATGACAGGCAGCATCTCTAAGCAGACAGATCGTCTGTAGTGCAGCCTACAGACAGTCTACATCCCTAAATGAAGAACTCAAATCTTTTCTTTTAAGAGATGCTTTTAGAGATGTTTTTTGTGGGGTAGGCAGGGACCTTATTAGCCAGCCGGAAGTCACCCAAAGGCAACATTTGGTCTGCAGGCCTCCAGTTGTCCATCACTGGTTTACTTGATAATTATGAGTCAAACATCCCTTGAAGTGTATGAAAACACAACTTTGTACTGTTTGAAACTACATTTACTAACAATTTCAGCTGATTTCAGCCATATCTGTGAATGTTGTGTAATTAAGTGTCTGTGTGCACACACATGACTGTGCAAGCAAAGGCAAGAGGAAGTTTCAAGACTAAGCAGTTTAAAAAAATGTATAACACTTCAGCAGAAACTGTATTCCCTTAAGCACAATCGTTTTTTTATGTTTTGCTATGATAAAAATAAAATAAAAAACAGAGCAGACAAAAAAAAGAGTGACAAAAAAGAGGAACATATATGAGTGCAAAAAATGAAGGAGGGGAGGCTGTAAAAAAAGAGGTAGCGTACTGTGCWGAGGGAAGGAGGGAGGTGTGCAACAGTTTCCTGTAGTTGCATGCTCATCACTCAGCCTCTGAGTGTGTTTCTGTCAGAGAGAGGATCGCGRGCGAGACTGAGCGGAACAGGATGCAGGCTATCAAATGTGTGGTCGTAGGAGATGGGTACGCCATTATTTTAATTCACTTTTCATTTTTTATTTATTTATTTGTTTGCTTTTTTTAACTGAAACTGCCTTCAGGTTCTGAGTTGGCTCAGTTGATTCTTAATGGGGGGAGAATCAGGCCTGAGCTCAGGATTTCAGTGCTGTGGGGCAAAAAAATTTGAAACAAAAAATGAAAAGAAAAGAAAACTTTGAGCAGCTTCCGGGTTGTAGGTTTAGTATTAAGTAGAAGAACAGAGAGTATCCGGATGGAGAGCGTTAGGTGTGTGAGTGCACTGGTTTGAAACGATGGCAGTGGRTGAGTGGTGCTTGTCAAAACTTGCAGGAAAAAAATGTTGCAAAGAAGCAAACTGAGGGTACAGCCCCTTTTTCTTTAGATGGATCTGACAGATACACAGAAAACAGCTGTTTTTTAGGCACAAGAACCAGGGAAATAATGAAAAAATAAAATGAAACGATATAAATAATTTACCAGGCTAGGATTGTCCTCCAAAGAGAGGATTTGATTTAAGGGACCTTCTACATCAGAAACACCTCTTTGTTTGTTACTTTTAAAGGTGGAACAAATGCCTACTTATGATAATAAAGACAACTGAATTAAAGCCACTTTAGCTCAGTTTAACASAGAGTTATAAACAGTTAAAGGTTTAGAAGCAGCACACAGGTGCTGCAGCTACATTTCCTTTTGAGCTGAGCTTCCTGTTTTAGGTCTCTGATTTACAAAATGTCAAATGAAGAAGAACAGGAAGCTTGAAAAAGACAGAAAACAGCGACATAAAAATGTTGCAGCTAATGTTAATTTTTGGGGCAGCTTTTTTTCCCGCCCTCATTTCCAAACAGCAACTTTTATCTGTGTGACAAAGTTGGCTTGAGGTAATAAGTTTCTAAAGTCTTTTTTCACATGAAGCAGCAGGGGGAGCAGTCTGAGGGTTGTGAAGGATGATGTAACTTCATGGTTATTATTATTGTTATTATATATATTTAAATTAACCTCATCAAAGGCTATAATGCTGTAGCCCATGTCTGAGTGTGTAAACTTTTTTGTTGACATATATCTTGTGTATATCCACGACTACTTTTTGGAGTTGTCTTGATTCAAAATGGCCACCGCAGCCRAMTGAACTTCAAACACAAAATCATGGATACAACTCAGTGAACTTGYACAAATATTTCCTTTTAAACCTGACGTGCCAGCAGCTGATTGTGATYTCAACACGTGAGCAGACTGTACGACTTTTTTTTAAGATTATGCCATTAACATTTTGGAGGCAGCTGTGCCTGTCTGTTAGTAAAATAGCTATTTTATGAGTCACTTGACAGATTTTAGTGAAATATTAATTTGATGTGTTTTATAGCTGATTAACTGCAAGTTATTGTGCAAGATGCAAGGATTAACTGTGGGCATCAAGGATGATTTTGATGAAATATTCAGACAGTATTTCTTGGAGCTGATTTAATTTAAAATGGTCACCACAAAAACGGACACACTGTTGTGTATCGCTCAGACAYTGAGCTAAAATCTGGTGGGGTAGTATCTGAGAGTGATTTACAACACACACTCTGAGAAAAAATTCAATAAACTTTGCAGTTAATGCTATTCTCAAGTTTTCACCAAAGTGGTCATTTCTGAACACAAGCTTGTTAGTTCACAAGTGTGTCGGTTGCATGGTGGACTCGGCGGACATCTTGTTTTTTTTATTTTAATAAAGGGAGCAGCTGTGCAGTTTGTGTCACATGTGAACAAGAGGAAGTTGGCTTTAGTTTGTAGGAAGTTTGCTGTAAGCTTCATTTTTAACTTGACCTCTTTTGCAACTTTCAACTCAGCAGTTAAAACAACCCTGATAAACCTCAGTAGGTATAAAAAAAGGATTCGTTTTGTGTAAATGTCAGGGGTGTCACTAGGTTTTAAGGACAAGGGGGCTTAGACCCCAGGAGACACACAGAATTTATTTATATACTATAAATGAAAAAATTATTTGGCATATATATA